ATTCATGTGACTTCTAAGGATAAAAAGGAAAAAGGAAAAAAGCAAACAAATAATATTTAAATAGGAGTTCTCTTGCACATTAGTACCCAACTTTATAATTGTCATTACTAAGGACTAGATTACTGTAGTTTAACTACAACCAGAATTCATAATGGTACTATATGAAGACAGCTGTGAAATAGAGAATGAGAAACAATAGCACCAAAGCACAGTAGCTGTAGTAGATGATTACCCTGAGATGAGAAAAAATACAAAGATCTCATCAAACCATGTCTCCTAAAAAGAAAGGAATGAGATTGCTAACATGCCTCCCACACACAGTTAGAGGGAGAAAATTTTCAGAGCTATTCTAGCCTCTTTCTTGAGATTTATCCATGTTAGATGATTAAATCAGAATTCATATATGCAAGACATGCATATAATATTCAATTCTAAGCTGTCAAATGTGTTTCTAAATTAGATTTCTTTGTCCACTTTTACAGTTTGAGTTGTTGAATGCAATGACTTCAAAATTTTCCTAAAAAAATCAGAAAGACTAGGTAATTTTTGAATAAAACTGAGATTCTTATTACAGTTTTCTGCTTTGGGAGCTGTCTGAGCCTTGAGAAATCCTGCAAGAACCACAACATTTTCAAACAGCAGACATTTGCAACTGTGAACAGAAGGCAAAGATCCTGATGCAGCTTTCACTTTTCTGATTTCAGAGGCTGTGTGGAAATTTTTGACACTGATTATCAGCTGCAGCTTGGGAGTATCAGGAAATGAATGCGCTGACACTCAGTCTTTTAAACCTCAAATAACAGAGGGTTAGAAAGAGCAGAGAGCTGTAGCTAGAGAGCAGCTCCAGCAGACCTAACTCAAGCTCAGCCAGCAGCTGGTTTAGGAGCGAAGAGACAAGCAGAAACAACAGCAGGACAGAGGCAGTGAAGTGAATACGTGACACCGAGATGGGTTTTGGGGACACAGGTACAATTAATTTAAAACAAATTAGTAGACAGCCAGACCCCTAGCTAGACTGAAACTCCTAAACTTTGTTTCCTTCAACTAATATGATACACGCAGCATCCTTCAAAACTCACTATTAGTCTTACCTATAATTTCAGCAAGAAGAAGAGAAGTATCTGTGTGAATTGTTGCAAAGTAGCAAGCTGTAGTCGTGCCATTCTTTAGAGTTCGTCTCTATAAAAAGAAATCAGTTTCAACTGTCTGAAAAAAAAAAACAGTAAAGCTGCCAAAAAGCAGAACAGGCAGTCTCATTTCAAACTGTGAGAACATTTAGTTATTGTGAAATTGTGCAGTGAAGTGGGAAGGTAGAATATAGATTTTTAATTTCATAATAGCTCTTTTAAGTCTGAGTGTTAATAAATACAAAAATTCCTCACAGAATTTTTGCAATGACTAAGCCCGTAGAAAGCACTCTATATTTCTTCCCTCAAACAGGAAATACTCCAGCTTATATTTAGAAATACAAACAGCTAGTAATTTTTGTTATTTCCTAGTTTTGAAAAGCTCTCCAATTTTCACAGTGAAGCACTGTTTATCTACTGTTAACAAAGCAAGGCTTTGGGGAAAAGCAATGGGGTTTTTTTGGCCACCTGATGTGGCTGGAAAAACTAGTTAGGTTTCGTGTATCAAAACCATTCATTATTGCCAAATATAAAGCAACAAACTTAAAGGTAAAAGTAAACTAAGCACAACTGCTCAGACTGTAATCTAATTATTTATTTAATTATACCTTTTGAAAGGAGATGGTGATTGACACCTGTTCATATTACTTTTGGAGAACATAACAGTAAATGAAGTGCACTTTTAGTTACATTAATTCATGATGAAATTTACAGTTTCCACTGATCTTGGGACTGATGACTATATTGACTACTCATCCAACATACGGATTTAAATCACACATTTGGATTCTTGCTACCAAGTAATTTGAGAATTTTCTTCTATTTTTTTTTAATGAGATAGAAGGTAGGACATTCAATACAATATTGAGAATGGCTAGAGCTAATTATTTGACAAACATGAAGCCAAGCTGTTCTACTCTTTCTGCTGACCTTCTGAAAACATACTTATATTTCACAAATATGAATGTCGTCAAGTAGGTAAGTGTTGTTTGCAGGACTTACAACAACTCTGGTGTACACTTCTTCTGCAAAACCACTGTCTTGGTATTTGGCTTCTGTTGGGAATGTGTAGGTAGTCAACCACTGCATAAGAGGTAGGTCTACTCTTGTACCAGTAAATGAATACTGAGGGGCATGAATGTGTGTATCAACCAATCCTGGCATGAAGAATTCACTAGGGAAAGAAAATAAAGTTATAATAGTCCAAAATGTCTCAAAATTTTCCATGATAAATAGCTTTGTTTTAAGCAGTATGTTTGAGCAAAATCCACCAGAGTAAATGGCAAGTACAGATTACCCTGCCTCTTTTAGCATCAGCCTATCAACTCCCATTGTAACTCTACCCATATCCCTTTTTCAGTACAAAGTAGTTGAATAGCAACATTTACACAGACACGCATATATAAACAGCTAATTGTGAAAAAACCAATATAAGAACATGATGAATCCAATTATCTCTAATATTGATCCAGATTAAATACCAACAAATGCAAACTGACTTCACAATAACTAAAATTACTCCACTGTAGAATCCATATGAAAAGGAGAAGATTTGGTCACAATCTTGCTTCTAGTATGGATATATTTAGAATGCCTCAGGCTTTCTGGCCATTATATTTACAAAAATATCCAAGTTTTACTCTCTCTCTCTCTCTTTCTCTCTCTCTCTCTCTCTCTAAAACTAACGAATTTTCAGGTTTAATTGAAGAACAGCCACTGTGTCTATAAATGCAGACACAGACATTAGTTAAAAAATCTCTCCTCAACAACTTGACAAGAAAGGCCTATTTACAATGGAAATGCAAAACTATTTGTTGTCATGTAATGTTCATGCAATAACAAGGATGAATATATCAACATTACTAGGAAGTTGCTATAATTGTTTTGGTTTGGGCTGAAACTCCATACTGTAAATTTCTCTCACTTCTCTCTCCTTCTCCCTGACTACTGAATGAACAGTGATTTCATCTCTTTGTAGTTCTCTTTCTTTCCATTTTTCCTGCATGCCATAAATACTGAAAGATCTCCCTCAATCTGATCCATATTCTCAGCACCTTCCACTTTCCTCAGGCTATTTCAAGTGAAGAAAACATCTGATGACTCATATATACTATATGATTAGCCTTTCAACAAAACATACAGATTTTTTAACAACTGATTACTAAAAGGATGCTGCTGCTAAGCCACAAGACATTTACAGTGGTACTACATACAAAGCATAGTGCACTCCAAAACAATTTCACTTCACCAGAAAGCTAGGGAACTTCACTGGCTGAAGTGCTCTAGCTGCAGTACAGAAAGAAATCCAAGGCTCTGTGTTTAAGAAGGTTTAAATCTTCTAATTATATTAACTTTTATTATGGAGTGTGTCAAAGTCCAAGGCAATGTGTTTTATATCTGCAATGTCAGTGTTACCTACATTTACTAAGTCTAGAGTTTCACCTAAGTTAGGCACAGCTCATTGCTAACCAAATGGATATAGAATGTAATTCTCAAGAAAGAACCGCATTTACTTCTGTGAGTACAGAAGTGGCTATGTGTGAAAATTAAATACGGCATTTGGTTCTGTGCAGTGTACATCAGCCAGCAAAATTCAGCCATGTCTGCAGTCCCAAACCAAGGAATGCAAAGAGCACACAGACTGGCCACCCTCTGAGTCCAATCCAGGACACAGGCAGCTTTGGGTAAAGAGGTCTCACGGAGCTGAAATAGAGTTTCGCCCATTGAATTGGATTTTATGTGTTCCTGTGAAAACGTATTCACAGAAACTCACTCTACTTCATTCAAAGAATAAACTAAATTTGCTGAAATTAATCTAAACAAAACACATACTGTTTACTCAGTTGTCTTATGTCAGAAGTTTTGAAACCCCACTTCTCAGCCAGTTGCTCCTGCTGATCACTTTGTTCCAAAAACACAATCTGAAAGAAAGAAAACAGAGTTAGGTACTTTGAGCCTGTATCCCACATCAGCTTTATGTGAAGGCAAAACAAGTTATATCATAAAGCAGATTTTACGCACTTACTACAAAGGTGAGAGGTTTGCATTGAAATACTTGTTATTCCTGACTATCAAGCATGATTTTGAAATACCTTCTCATAATCCAGTGAATAACCACACCCACCTTGTAACTTGGAATAAAACAATTAATTCACTTTCAGGTAATACCCAGGCAGACCTGCAGAGACTTTAATGTCCACCGAAATTCCTGCAATGTAACATCATGCTAGCAGTAGTCACTTGCTCTGGAGGTGTGCAACAACCTTATGGGAATGCAATTACAGTATCCACAACCAAAGAGGGCAAATTAATTGCTTTGCCTAGGAGTAACTGACATCAAGCTAAGTATTTCCTAATTTTCTGTTTGTGTCATTAATGTTGGAGTTCTTTTTATTTTTTCAGTGCCTAGGATGACAAAAGAAATTAAGGGGGAAAATGCAGATAACATTTTCATTTTACAGAACAGGCTAAAAGGAGATCTTTATTTATTTCAAAACAAAACCCTACAATCTGGAGCCAAACTCAACCCCATTTGACTCCTGGAGAACACTGACTGTACTGATGATGAGTTGCTGTTGCCAAGTCATAATTTTAGAACATTTTCCATTTATTTTTAAATTACATGGTATTTTAACATGAGTCTACAACATGACTCTTGGCAACTGAATTCTCAACTCTTTAATTTCCTAGTCTAACAATAATAGACATGACAACTCTTCAAGAAACAAAGGTTGTGGAGCCTAGGAACTGCAATGCCAGCTACAGGCTGCAGGCGGGATCCAGGTTTCCTCCACACTCGATAGAGTAGAGGACCCTGATGCTTCCCTTGGAAAAAGACTGCCTAACCTGGGCTTTTAAGAATTCTTGCCTAATCACAGCTTCTGCAAGAAACCAATTAATGGTCTCTTAACACCCTCGGTATAAGAGGTCATTTCTCTAAATTCAAGGGAATAATCTTACTGCTACCAGAATCCTTCTGCTCCTGGGAAGATGTCCATGCTGAGGGCCTGTATCACCCTTATAACAGGAGTTTCTAAGGCAGCAGTTAAAAACAAAACAAAACAAACAAACAAAAAACCAAGAACATTAAAAAGGCAAGACCAAGTAGTCATAAAGAGACAATAGGAAGGAACTTAGGAGGAAGGGCAAGAGGAGCAAAAAAGCATTGTTTAGCAGTTATTTGCATGAAATTTTTTTGTATGTGTGACTTCTTGCATAGAAATTTACCATTTTTCTAATTTTTCCATAGATGCAAATAAGTGAAGGCTGCTAAACAAGAAGTTTTTAGCTGCCTAGTCTTTTAAATGAACATATGGCTTACATGATTTACATTGTCCAAAGAACAGATGTTTTACATTTTTGGTCAGAAAAAAATATTAAAATCACACCATATAAATAAATACCACACTAGCAAAAATTGCAAGATTATAGTACTCCATTAATAGTTCACTTGAAGCAGTATCTCTCTCCTTCCAAAGAGGAATACAGCCAACTTAATGAATTGTATAGCTGCAGAATGCTTGGAATAAAGATACTGAAATTCCTGATGGGCAAAAAAGAAAATGTCATTCAGATACTGAAATCAAAATGGATGCAGAATGAGTAATGTTAGATCTGCTGGGGGAAGAGGGAGAAAGAAGGAGGAAAAAAAAGAGAGAGAGAAACATGAAACACCAGATGACAAATTCTGGAAACAAGCGTTGCCATGGAAAAGCAGTGGCTGTTATGTACTCTTAGGGTGCAGATAAATAAAATACATCATGAAAAAAAATGAAGAAAATATGGTCACATGAAATCAATTCTTAACCTGACAACTGGTCCATTATGGTCAAATGAGTCTATGGGTAAATCAGCAAGACATCTATACTCTCTTCAAACAAACTTGTCATTGGAATTCCTTACTCAAGATGTTCCCCATTGCTTTAGGATGCATTTGCTCTGGACACCTTTCTAACACTGAATGCTTTAAGGTCTTTGAGGTCCTACACCTGGACATCTGCTCCAGTATTTGCTTGTGCATTCAAATTAACCAACCTGGTGGACAGTTCTTTAAATTAGTTTTGGACCTTAACACAGTAGAAGCAAGAAAAAATTCTACAGCAGTGTCACTATAGAGTCAAGAAGTAAGTGCAGAGGCACTTCAGCTTGTCAAGAAGGAAGACAAGGAGAGTAACTGGCACTTTGGGGAAGGTATATTCACAAAAAGCAGGATCAACGGCTGCAAACACTATTGCTCAAACACTTCTGTAAGTTCTCATGTGTCACCCATGTGATGTGGCTAAAGGATCCAAAGTTGAGAAGCTGAGACCTCCCTAACTCAGGCCTTTTTTACTCCTAGTGATGCCCAAAGATCCTCCATCAAAGCATAGGTGGTCAACCAAACTATGCATCAACTCTGATGTAGAAAACCTTGGAGTGCCTCCAAGCACCACAGTGAAAATAACTTTGCTAATGAGAAAATAGAAAGTGAATGATACTGGCTGAAGGAAAACAGATTTTTTGGATCCAATTGTGCCTGTGTTTCTTAGTTTCTGGCTATGACGTTCATAGATGAACATGAGAAGGGGTCCATCCCTTTTTTCCCCACCCACATGCTCTCGCCCCTCCCTACTTCCACAGTCATTAAATGACTTTTACATTAGAGGCATGCTTGCCTAGTTCCCAAAACTGGAATTGGAGGCTTAACAAGAGACAAGAACACTTATTAGACTCAGTTGCTAAGGGAACCACGCAACCTGCTGAGAAACGTTAAGCAGTGAACTCCAAATGGATGTTGGTACCTTGGTACCTTCCTCCTTGTACAGCTAACACATGTCCTCTTGCTGTCCCAGCTGCTTAAATCAAACACTTAAAAATATTAACTCTTATTCCACAACTAGTAAGAGTTTTCATGACTTCAACAGGAGCTTTTAGCTTAATACTTTTTCTGTTTACTTACTATTCTACTCAGCTAAGTTAATTACACCAACGTTTCAATGATAACTCACATTTTGCACCTGTGTCTGTTTTGTTTAGCCCAAGGAAGGCTACTCTTTCTGCTTGATGTTCCTCAAGAATGACACTACACTGCTCTGCAAATCACTCAAACATGGTCCCTACTTTTCCAACTTGATGATAGTTTGGGTTTTCATATCTGACAGCAGTGTTTTCCTTGCTAAACCTTCCTTTTCACCTAGAGGCAAAGCAGAGAGAGCTGACATTTTACGTCCTTGAAGGATACACAGGGTCTCACACTGCAGAACAGGACCCAGCTGATCACAAAAGCTGATGTGTTCACAGTGTCAGAGACTGTGCAAGATTTTTCTGTGATGGACTTAGCAACATGAGGCAAAAGAACAATATCTGTTTAGTCAAATTTACTTCTTTGGGAGTAATGCTGAAGCAGGTTTGATAAATTTGAATAATAAAAATAAGTAATTTTCTAACCACTATGTCCTTCTTAAAAGCCAACTGTTCTGTGATTCCAGTGGTTATCCTGAGTGAAATTACATTACATGTAATAGGGAGGGAAGAGAGCATATAGGAGGGATGCCAAAACTTAGTGAAATAGTAAAACGCCAAGAACTTGTAATAAAAAGAGAATAAAATAAAAGTGACTGTTACCACGCTCCAGTGGGTATTTAATTTTTGGGTAACACTGTTTTAATGAAAAATATTTGAAAGAAAAAAAAAACACCTTCTGCCAGTTTATGCAAGAAAAACAGTATACTGTGAATCCTTGTTCCCTAGGAGAAGAGGGTGAGAGCACAGATCCTTGGGTATAGCTTGCTAAGGTACCTGTTTTCCAAGAAAATCTTGGAGATTTTCTTAAGTAAGACTTAAAAGTCTTGATTTCCTATGGATGCTGTGTAGAGATACTTTACTGGAAATTGCCATTAGAGAGAGTGGGATGGGGTATGAGTTTCTGTCTTCTGCTCCTGAGTTACACCAACCAAATCCTTTTTTCATTCAACTATATTGTTTTTAGTGGACACCAGCATAAACTTACATAAGTTTTTATTCTCCTCCTGTACATCAAAATACAGCTTCTCATAGACTTTGATACACCTTGCATCAGACATCTATAAAAGATGATCTTCAACACCTTTAAAAGATGCCTGGAAACAGGCCCTCATAGACGTGTGAATAGAGAAAATAAACACTGGTAGGTCTCAAAATGTGCTTTGCACAGATTTCAAATGTTACTGTAGCCTGACACACTGAAGCCTGTTATTTAGCCATAAGAAAGAAAATCACTTTTTAAAATTTTACAGAGGGTGCCGATACACTTTATGGAGTCTGTGAGAAATCACTAGCCTACCTACACAAACTGCACTGTGGAACTGAGTTTCAAGTGCGATGCTATTAAGGGAATTACACAGCTTCCCTGCCAGACTCGATCCTGCATTATCAGTAAGTGCAATGCTTGTTTAAAGCTTGGCTTGTACCACTAACATACCTAACGTCCCTAACTCCCTATGGATATACTCCATGGGATTTTTTGCCAAGAAAATAAAAAAGCTCCACTCAGAAAGCTGTGCAGGGAGCACACTGCAATTACTCATAATCACTGTTTAGATACTTGGAGAATGAAAAACCTGCTTGTGAAACTGAAAGAAAACAGAGAATCTGAAAGAACGCCCAGTCGAGGCGCTCTGCTTTTTTGGGAACACTCAGCACACCTCAAAAACTGATTTCGGCTAACTGCAGACTCGTGCTGAGGGGACGCTCCATCCCGGTTACCTTCGGCTCCCTCCCGCAAGTGCAAAATCCCTTCTCGGGAGCGCTTTCCCCGACGGACGCGAGAGCGAAAATTTTCCGCGTTCTCCCCACAGATCGGAGGAGCCGACCCGGCCCCTCTCCACCCCCAGACGTGGATTCGGGGCTGAAAAGGGTAATTTCCACCGCCCCTCGCGGACCCCGGGGGAGCGCAGGACTCCCCAGGACCAGCGCACCGACGGAGCGAAGCGGAGCGGCCCCGAGGGGCTCACCGGGCATCTCCCCGCGCCCCCTGCCGCCCGTACCGGACCGGTGGCACCCGCCCGAGCCCCCCACTCACTGTCCCGTTATCGTCCACCCCCAGAAGGTGTCCGTGGAGGATCTCCAAGGGTGCGGAGGCGCTGGAGTGCACGAAGGTCCCTCTGAAGACATGGGCGAGCGGCGGGCGCTGCGGGGAGCCCATGGCGGCGGGCTGGGCGGGCGGCCCTGGGAGCTACCACCAGCGGGCTGCCGCCCCTCGGTGTCTCTCGGTGCCGCCGGCGGCTTCCTGGAGCTGTCACCATTTCCCCACCCCCTGGTGACTTTCTCTTCGGGGAGTGGTTTCGACGAAGGGAGGGCGGGAGGCCGGGCCACCCCCTTCCCCGACTCCGCCGGACGGGAGATAGCCGCGGGCGGTCGGGGGGGTGCCCCTTATCCCGAAGCCTCGGCCTCCCCGCCGGTGATCCACCCTCCGACGGATGGGGTTTCCCACGTGCAAGGGGCGCGCAAGCCCGGAGCAATGCCAGGCGGGGTTTGGGGTCCCAGTTACTCGCTGGGAAGAGGTGGGTGAGCCGACGAAGTATCTGTTAATGCTATACTAGTGTCTGGCAACTCACTTTTGCAAACAACACGAAGGCTGTAACCTCTTGCAAAAGTTTCATTTACAGTAGGTTTGGTCTGTAGGTTGGAAAAGACCTTTAATAAGATCTTCAAGTCTCAGGCTGACTCCTCAGTCCTCGGCCTTTGTACTGCACGTTTGTAGGATATAAGAGTAGAAAACAGATGCGAGCCGAGATACAAGAACTACAGAAGTAGGCAGCCTCATTCGGTGAAGATGATCTACAGAAAAAGAGCAGCTTCAGGAAAATGAAAGACAGAGAAGAACTAATTTTGTTAACTCAGAACTGTGTTCCCAGAACCATATTCCCTCTAGCAACCTGAGACAAAGTATATCATGAACACATGCTAAGAGGATCATTATTGAAAACACTGGGATAAAACTTTGGAGACACAATGATGTACACCACGGATAACACCATGAAGATCCTCTGAATTCCTGTTTGAAGACACTATTATTCATCAACTTGTCAGGTTATGAATGAACTTGGCACCAAGGGCACTGACACTATTGCTCTCAAGGCTGCATTGCAAAGTTTGTCATTACATGGTTTATCATTAAAAGACCTTTGCACTTCCCAGTGTGCTGACACTATACAAGTGCATAGCAGATTATCTTTCCTACAAGCTCTCCAGATTAATGGTGGCAGGAGAGAGAAATACATTGGAAAATCACAGAAGAAATTTAATTTTGGTCTCCTATGGACAAGTCACCAGCCTTTATCTTTCCTCCCTTCTACAAGAATATGTTAGGTTGCTGAGAATGAAGTTAAAAAAGTATTGTATTTACTGATATCAGTGGAATGTTCTTACCTGGATTTTGCTATCAGCTTAATCAGGCAATAAAGAATGTCCAAAATAAAACAGACATGTGAAAGTGACTTTTACTTACTTATACTGGCAATTCTTGTGATAGGTCTTGAAGTTTCAAAAGACTTCAAAAATAATATCCCAAGATAAACCGAGGTGTTTTAACACATAAGGCAGTTTTTTGTTGTATTTCTGTCTTCTTTGACATGAGAATCTAGCATACAAAACAAATCACAAATTGGTCTTGCAGGTTAATCTGCTTCGGAGAAGAAACTGGCATAAGAATCTTTCATGTAATTCAGTTTGCTTACAGTAATCCAACTTCCTTGAATAACAGAATAATAAGCTTTCTAAAATAGAACCAAAAGTCGTTTAAATTAGCACTTGCAAAATCCCTCTTCCAAAATTTTTTCTCAGGGTGATGCTACTATGTTTCTTAAGGCTGCAGCTGAAATGAGCTATGTTCCAAGCTGTTACCCCAGGTGAGGAAAATTGCTTCTTGCTGTAGGAAGATAAAGACTGAGAGACTGTTTTTGTTGTTGAATAACAAAGGTAGAAGGGGTGGAGATGAGAAATAGGGTGAAGGGACCAAGCCCAGCAGCAGTAAATTCACTTGCTCCTCCTGTGAAGAGAGAGGTGAAAACAACTTTGCCCAGAAATAGCTGCAGCTCCACACAGCTTGCCCTTGCCCTGTTGGCAGCAACTAGCTTGATTTTCCTCTCCAGTGTGCTGCCCTAGGACAGCTGTGTGCTTCACTTAATGCAAATCAGGCTACACACAGCTTTTGGTTCAGAATCCCAAGCTCTTGTGCTGGCTGCTACCCAGATTCACGTACACTGCTGTCCAGAATAATATTCAGCAGAGCTCACTGTTCCCAAGAAACCTTTTGGTTGTGTTCAGTAGGGAAGTGGGCTGCTCCTGAGAATCTCACGCTGCTTCAACCCTGGTTTTCCATTGAAAGCCTCAGAGATTTCCTCCAGGTTCTTTACAAAAAAATGATAGTTCTGTGATTTCAGTGAGATATAATCCAGAGAGTAGTTATTCAAGAGAAGAAACAAATAAATAATAAAAAAAAAACATTCACAGTTTCTTACTTCAGGGGGAGAAATATCAATAACCAACACTGTTAATGATAACTTGCTTCTGTTAGAGGGTTCCAAACACTCTGAAGTTTTATAATTTCACTGTCAAAAGAACTAGAGGTCTCTCCTGCTTTTACCAGTTGTCACGTGGGAGAGCACGGTAGCCCTGGAAGAGTGGTAACACCCTTCTCTCCTCCCAGAATTTTTTTGGTTTTTTAGGTTGCAACAGTTACACATGCATGCCCTAGATACTTGCATGACTCAAGGTGAGACCTTGGCCAAGTAGGAAAAACTGACTCATTCTTCTAAAATATTGTAAGAGCCTTACACTAATGTATGTTTAGTTTTGCTGGGATATGCTGGGCCAGGCACTTTACCACCTGGGATAGAAATGTAATGTTCAGTTGTGCTGTTACATAGTAATTAACTTGAGTGAATGAAATACCTCACTTTTTCTTTTTTTTTTTTTTTCCTTCTTTTTCTTTTTAATGGTTGAGGGTCTGAAGAGAAAGATTTACCTTCTTTAAAATTATGTTCTTTTAATAGCATTAAAAATAAATCTTAATTTTAGCAACTCATTGAAATTATCATGTATGTGTTAAGACATTTAATAATTAATAATGTGTACTTTGTTCAGTGCTGTTTTAAAAAGAAACCTGTCTCACTATTCACTAGCTTATCAGACTCTGTATCTTATAAATTATTGACGTCTGAGCAATTATAGAAATTACTCTTTGGTTGAGTCCTGAAGCCAAACATATTCCAGATCAGAATAATAATCAGTGTACTTCCAGGAGCACAGGGACGATTTTAACAGGATTAGAGTGCCTTCATTCCCCTCAACACTTTCAGCTTCTGGTCTTTTTTCATTTGTCACACTATACAAATGAAGAATTCAATTACTTGTTTCAAAGTTTCATGGCACCTAAGCTGATCCTCCAACATCTGAGAAATATAAGACAAAAAAATCTGCTTCTCTCCACTGCTTTCAAAAAGCAGTTGATGGGGTACTTGTCACCAGCCAAAAACACCTGTTTTCAAGAGTCTGTTGCGGCCAGTGCCTGTGGAGCCTGAGCACCAGATGACAGAAATTATTATTCTGATCTAACAATGAATGTTATGTGAGTATTTATTATCAAAATGTACCTTGACTATAATTTGTAACATAGCAACTAGGTGCATGGAGAGAAAAAATACAGTTGATTTATCTGCTATTAAATGATTTTTTTTTTCTGCATAAGAAAAAGCTGATTGTGTGGCGAATTCTTGGGATTACTAAAAAAAAAAAAAAAAAAAAAAAAGAAGCATGATTTAAATATCTCTTCTCAAGTCTGAAATTGAGAGCTAGGTCTTAATCCAGAACAAGCTACTTCAGACAGCTAATTTTCCCACAAACATTTATATAATCAGAATCTGTTTATATTACTTAATTTTTCCAACTCCATCTAAAACTGAAAATTACCCCACCCAAAAAGAATAAGAAGCAATAACCATACACACAACTCCATGTCATTTACCAAAATGGGTATTCACTCTGTAGGTCCCAGATAGAGCTTTCAGCCTTTGATATCCAAGCCTACAAAGGCTTGGGAAGGCAAGCCTCAGGCACTGCAAAGGGAAGCTGGAGTTACCTACTGATGCTTCCATCTCCAAAAGGGGCCACAATACTGTCGTAAAATATCCCATGATTAGAATTTAGAGATGGTGTGTCCTACTTATTCTCTGATACATAATTAACTGAAACACAGATTGACTGATGTTAGTTCTAATACTTACAAAGTTTTTCTCTTTTACCACCTTGTTCATAACAGGAATCTTAGTAACTAATCCAGTAAAGTTCTTTAGAAGAGCCAGGAAATACACAAATATCAGTAAAAGTCATCTCTCACTAGAAGCACGAGCATGAGTGGGTGAAATATGTCAAAATATTTTGATGGCAAACTTGTTTCTATATTCCACAAGACACACAGGATCAATCAACCATTTGCTAGACTTAATCTCTGATCAGGTTAAAAGAGACCAGAGAGGAATTTGGGTGTCTGCTGTTGTTAACAGGGGTTTACAGAAAACAAATTGGTTGGACATGACTTTCTTTTGCCTGATACCCTTCACTGATAAAACTTTATCTGTGGAATTCCATTGCATAGTGAATGCCACACATGTAATACAATGGGATCAGCTAATCTCTGGTCATGGCAACATCATAAACCACTCTATGTAACTGTTAAAAGACACTCTCTTGCTAGTCTCATTTTCATGCTTAAAACCAATAAAAAATAATATTCTTCACATACTCTTAAGTGACTAGAGATTCATCTAACTTTGCATTGCTAACAGAACATAAAACGCTTCAGATATGTAAGCATAAATAAATTGTCATAAGGAATTCAAGTGAGCAGTTACTATTGATTTCCCATTTATTGCTGTCCACACATGAACACTTTTCTTGCTTCACTAAGGAGCAAATTCCACTAATGCTGGAATTATTATCTTCTTAAGTAATTTGTGAACTCTGAACCATGATGAATATTCTAATTTAAAAATGTAATTAATTACATAGAGATCCAAACATACTCCTGTAAAATCACTTAATAATTGCAATGTATCGACCAGCAGTTGCATTTCTAAGCTGTTCAAAGGATCTCTTCATATGTGCCAGTGTTCAGTAAAGTAGTAAAATTGTGATGAAAAGTTTCATGATGATCATGCTGAAGGCAGCATAATTGAAATATAAAAACAATAACACAGTATTATTATTTCATTACTTTATTCCAGAAGATATTAAAGCATAAATGTAGAAATTGTGAGAAATAAAAAAAAAGAAAAAAACGAAAAAAAAAAAACTTATTGAATTCCAATGTAAACGATGTGTTTACATTGAATTAACTAACTTAATTATTCACCGGTACGTAGTTTTACAGAATCTCCAGCAGAGGAAAGACAAGGACCTGTTAATGTGAGTCCAAATGAGGACCACAAGGAGGAGGAGGGGGCTGAAGCACCTCTCCTATGAAGACAGGATTAGAGACTTGAAACTGTTTAGCCTAGAGAAGAGAAGACTACAACTGAGATTTTATTGTGTCCTTTCAATATATCTTTTTATTACATATGTCTTATATAATTATTTCTTAAAGAAAGACTTTTACCAGGGCTTTTAGTGATAGCAAAAGGGGTCACAATTTTAAACTGAAAGAGAGTGGATTGAGGCTGTGCATAAGAAAGAAAGAAATTTTGTACTATAATGGTGGTGAGACACTGGAACATATTCTCAGAGAAGCTGTGGATACCACATCCCTGGAAGTTCAATGCCTGGTTGAATGGGAATTCAAATAACTTATTTGAACCCCCTCCTCATAAAACTCAAACCATTCTGTGATTTTAAGTATCTGCCTGCTTCTGAAGATACCAGAGATACCAGTCTTCTTTTTTTTTTTTTTTTTTTTTTTTTTTTTTTTTTTTTTTTTTTTTTTTTTTTTTTTTTTTTTTTTTTTTTTTTTTTTTTTTTTTTTTTTTTTTTTTTTTTTTTTTTTTTTTTTTTT